ATAAAGTAGAATTTAGCCATTTTCAAAGAGACAAATCGGGGTCTGAATGGCTTAGGAAATTTATTAATGGAAAGAGTAATGGAATATAATCACACATCAAACATACACATATGTGTCAATATTTATTTGAAGAACAGAAAAGTCTATCAGTGTCTGATTTTTTTTTGTCAAGTTTGGTTTCTTATAAATCATTTGCTAGAAATTCTGAAAGTTAAAAATTCAATTGATTTGGACACTAGATTAGGGAACAAGGGCTATCAAATTTAAGAAATCTATGTTTAAATCTTTCCCCACTACCATGAAAGAATAAAGGTATGTAAAAATTCCTTTTAGTAGGTGAGGCAATAGTGGCTATTTCAAAGCAGCATTAGGTTTATAATGTTTAAATTACACTATGTTTAACTTTTTTGTAAATTTATTTTACAAAATTGCATTACTAGAGCTTCCAAGTGTATAGACATCTGACAATCTCTATGAATTTAGTTTGTCAAGTATACATTAAAGACATTGTAGGTAGCCTGTTGTACAATTTATGCATATAAGGAAAATACTTTAAAACAAATTCTGAGGCAACACATAGTGGGTTAAATATTTTGGAATAATTACCGGTAATTGCTAACATTCAGCCAATGATGCATATAAAAAGATTTTAATAGTTGGCATTGTCTATTTTTTACACTACAGTTCCACTCTCATTTCAGGATCCAAATGTAATTTGGAAAAGTTATATAAATAAAATACATTTTTAAATTGTTTATATATAGATTGTTTATATATAGCTATTTGTGCACCACACCTGTCAGGTCAGGTTTGATGCTTTTACTCTGAAATGGAATATTTCATTTAAAAAATAGTTTGCTACCAATTGAGTAGTTGTCCCTCTAGAATTGTGAAGTAGATTCACTTATAATAAAATAGCATACATTTTAAGATGTGCTTTGACATTTTTACAAAATCTGCTGCCTCAGCCAAGTTTTTATGCCCTTTGAAACAATATAGCCTATTCTTCTTTTTCTTCTTTAAACATACAAGTTTATTTGTTTGAAAAGCAACATGGTTTCTATCGGCAAGATAGTCACATTTACTCATTCTATCAACGTTTCCCTTTTGTAAAAAGTAATTAGTTCAAAAATGTTTAGCATTATATGGTTTTGTGCTGTAAAATTGTTTTTGTGATCCCCTACAAATGATGAAAAATGAAAACTATAAGTCTGTTTTCCTATAGAAGCATTAATACCACATTTGGACAATTAATTAGATTAGGTTAACTATTAAGAAATAATCTTTTAATCTGTTTGAAAGACAAAGGAGTTGACTGTGGGGTCATTAAATCTGAAACCAAACACTCAAAGTGCACTTTCAAGCAATAGAAGTGATTTCATCCTATTGTCAAGGGCCTTGTTACTTAAAGGAATTACTTTTGAGTGTTGTAACCAAAGATGTGTCTCATTTTCTATTGGAGACAGGATTGGCAAGTGCTGATAAATAGTTGTTTTAATGCTCTTAAATACACTGACTAGCTCAAGTCAATGTCATAGCCCCATTTCACCACTGATGTATCATATTACATGTTGATTTATTATCTACTATAAAACTGTGAGTATACATAGATTACTAAATTTGAGTAACATCACCTAAAACATATGCATATTAACTTTGTGGATATTTTTATGCTGTTGAAAAATAGTAATTTCTCCCTTGTAAACAGGATGGAAAAAGTGAAATAGAAAAGAAACAAAACTCTTTCTCAGTTTATAAAATTCTCCAATCCTGATTATCTTAAACATCACTTACTCATCATAAGGGAGTAACTGATTTGTAAACATAAATTTACAACTTTTTCACTCAAGGATACTGATAAGGAAATCCTCTGCCTCTAGATTTCATCCCTCCCTCCCAGAGGATATTAGTCCTTCGCTTCTTACAATAGTCATTTTGTCTTTTAGCTGCATAGGATATATCTTTTATTTAAAAAAAAACCCAATAACTTGATTTTAAAAAATACTATGTAAGATCCGAGATAGAACTGAGATCTGATAGATCTGAGATAAGATCTGAGATAGTATAAATACACTCTCCCCCCCCCCCCCCGACAAGTACCCTGTTTCTCTAACTTTTCTCCCACAATATATAATACTCTGAATATTTTATTCAGGGCCTGCGAGGTTCTTGTAAAGTGAATGCATTTCTTGGACTATGTTACAGAATTCTTAGAGTGTATTCAATAGTATATTGTGCAGATACTGCAGATGTGGAAGAGATTCCCTTTAAGGTGACTGTTTGAAAACATGTACCTCAGCGCAAAATGTGTGAGTTTTAGAACAAAATTGTGAGAGAACAGGTTCTCACAAGGTGACAAGGAAACAGCTTGATACCAAATCAGTCCATCTGTTATCAAAACAAGAAGCAGATGGGAACCATTGCTCTCTTTCAAAAAAAGATTGGCTTCTAAAATGGATGAGGATATCTCTCCACAAAATCCATGATTTGGAGGTACTTCTCAACTTGCTGCTGCTGCTTATGTAACAGGAGGATGTGGCTGGGGGAAGTCTTCACCCAGTTCTGGTATGATTTTACTTGGACCAAGCTGCTTTGGACCTGGTAACCCATGCCTACCCTACCATCTGCCTAGACTATTATAATGCTCTTTAGATCAAGCTGCCTTTGAAGACAATCCAAAACTTAATTGATACAAAACAGGACAACTGGACTCCTAATGGGAATAACACCTATTCTGAAATTACTGAATTGATTGCTGGTAGACTTCTGGGCTCAATTCAAACTCATGGTTATCACTTTTAAAGCCATTTACAGTTCAGCATTGGATCATTCATTCATTCATTCATTCATTTTCCATGGCCACACATCTCCATCAACGAACTCTGGGCAGCTTACAATTTCAAATACATATATCAGGCAATGCCTTGCTAAAACTGAACCACCCTCCCTTGACCCCTTTTCCCATTGTCCTTCTTGTGATGTTCATGGGTTGCAGGGCAAGTGACCGGCCTTCTCTCCAGCGGTCCCTAATTTAGGGAACACTATCCAGAGAGTATTTCAAAAGCAACTATTTTGAAAACAGATCAAAGCAGCACCATTCTAGAGAGTTTGGCCCTTAGATTAAGCCAGTGGCACTTTTGATGTGTTGGGTAGAAAGAAATAAACAATACTGTTTTTGCCTTTGCCCTACCTTGATAATTGATGCCCTAACTCGCATATATGTGAGGGTAGATGTAGAAGCAGATTCTTCTGCAAGAGCAGTATCTTCTTCAGTCTTGAAAGCAAATGGCTTACAATCTATTCTAGTTCAAGGGGGGGAAAGAAGGAAGAGGAAACTGAAAAGGCTGACTTAATAGTGTTATTGCAGTCTAAAAAACAGAGGTTGCATTTAAGTTGCTTTTTAGCAGTTGAAATGGAAATATTAGGATCAGCAGATTTTCTCGAATCAAATCAGTTGTCTTACATCTCATTTTTTGAGATGCAGAGCAGGGAATATTGTTAAAATGCTAATTATTTCCTTTCTGTGTTTACTAGTTTTCATTTTTACCAGTACTTGCATTCTGTTGTGGGGGTGTAGTTACTTTTCATTCTGCTCTTGCCATAAGCATTTGTGGCTTTTTAAATTTTAAGTACTGTAAAAGTATACTGTGTATACCGTAGATTCTGGTTTTCTTCCAATAAAACATTTTGGTTACATTTGCTCCCTAGTGTTAATTAGTTATATTATTAACAAATTGTGCAACCTCATTTACCGAGTTAACATTTAGGGTAATTTAAAAAGACAACTATAACTACAATTAAAATTTAGTTAATTAATTACTGTGCACTTCTATTGCTCGGAAGTTGGATACTTGCTATTAATGGCAACTTTCAAAGGCAGAAAAAGTAATTTTACTATGTAAAATCAGGAAGAGTCAGGGGTCAAAACAACTTAGGTATAAAGTAGTTCTTCACTTACAATCATAAGTTTAATGAAGTATATAGTTGAAAACAGTAACTTTCAACTGGTCCTCTCCTGCAATCATTACAGCATCCTGACAGTCACATCCAAATTCAGGTGCTTGGTGATTGGCATGTATTTATGATGGTTGCAGCATCCTGGGGTCATGTGATCACTATTTCTGATCTTCCCAGCCATCTTCCAGAAAATAAAATCAATGGGGGAAGCTCAATTCAGTTCATGACCACCTGATTCACAGTGAATCACATAACAACTGTAATGATTTGCTTAACAACCATTGCCAAAAAAAAGCTCACAATTTTAACTGCAACTCACTTAACAACTGTTTTGCTTAATGGAAATTCTGGTGTCAATTGTGATCGTAAATCAAGGACTTCCTGTATTAAGTTTTTATTGTATGGATTGAAATTTCATTTTGACCAAAGCAGCCAGACAAGCACCATTAATGCTCTCTCTCTAAGTCTTTACTCTGCTTTGTAGTATACCAAGATAAAAGAGCTCTTCCTAGTTCTTTGCTAAATGACTTAGGAAACTGTAATATATACTTTGGGGCAGCTTTCCCTGTGCGCATTTCCTGTGTTGGATTAAAACTCTTACCATGCTTCGATGGAAATTAATTAATTAGAGTATTGATCTGAATGAAGATTTTAAATATGAAACTCCCAATTTGGAAAAACTTCTCCAGTGCTATAATCCACCAGAACTATGAGGATTTAAAGAATCATGAAACCAGTAGCATAAACCCAGGGAAGTTGGAATTTCTTTTTTCTTGAGCAGTAGACTTCCAGTGAATGAATCCTTTTTGAAATGCAGTTTTCCACATATTGGAGGATCAATTAGTTAAAGAAAATGTCAACCATTCTGTTATCTTCTCTGACCTTCCTCTGCAAAGGTTTCATGGTGTAGCTTTTTATAAAGGTCCTAGGAAATTATAATAATCGAGGAAAGTCCCTGAGAGGTACATACCTTTGAATGAAATTGAATATCCTTGCTGATAATTAGATAGTTGACTAAAAGTATTATCTTTTCCCCTCTTTAGTTTCTGTGCTTGAAGAACATAAGAACATTCCTTTCTGCCTGCTGTGAAATATTTGGAATGAAGAAGAGTGAACTCTTTGAAGCATTTGACTTGTTTGATGTTCGTGATTTTGGAAAGGTATTTACAAGACATTCTTTACCTTTATATGACTGTGTTTATACATGTTACAATTACTGCAGAATGATTACTCTCTTTATTGATGCAACTGATGATTGATTAATAGGTACACTCTTTTGGGGGGGAAAATTCATCTTGATTATAATGTATTAGCACTTGTTCAAAATTGTCTTTGCAACTCCTGTGATTGTAGTTTGTTTTCTTCATGCTGGGAAATGTTTATAAAGATGTATAGTCACAGAGAAATTAAAGGTAATGTGACATCCATTTCAGTGAAAACAAAAAGATTAAAAAATCTTGAAATAATTTATTAGCTTGACCTAATCGGAAATAGCCCTCCCAACTTGACACTGCATTAACTGAAGATAAATTGTGATTGTAATCATCAGAATATTTTAAAGGAAAGAATGCTTAAAGTAATAGTGGACATGGTTACATCAAGGGCATGATACCCTTAAAAAACCAAGTTTATGCTTTTTTGGCAGCTCTGGTTGTTGATGCTCAATGTGTTTCCTTTGTGAGTGTTGGGAATTACACTTGCATGGACTTGCATCATCTCTAAAGTAATTTGGACAGGAAGGATGACACATAGCTTTATTCTTTTGTCTGGTGTTTTATAAACTTTTCTTTAAAGGAAAAAAATCAAAAAAGCCATAGTTAAGTATCAGTCACCCTGTACTTTTTTAAAATTAAACTAGAATTAGAATTAGACTAGAAGCCTTCCAAGGTCCCTTCCAACTCTGTTTTTCTATATTCTATTCCTGTTTCAAAGACGGAATAATGAATTCTAGTCTGGAGGAATTTAGCAATTTTACAAAGTTTTAGTTCAACCCTATTATCAACTTCATTTTTTTTATTGTACACTGACTGTCATGGCTACTCAGGAGGAATCTTGGAAAGTTACTGATAATTCCTTATCTGACCTTTCCCACAGAATTTCCAGGGTTTTTAATTTAAAAACGATTACATCAGTGGAAGCCTACAATGTGGGCACACATTAGAAACTGTACAGGATTTATTTTTTTTAATGCTGAGCCAGTTTTCTAGGACAACTAGAGATAAATGCTTTGAATAGGCTTTGTATTAAGAATGTTCACCTTTACATGAAAGGAAGAAAACTACAAATTTAAGATAAATTTTACCTCCCTCCCCAAGAATTTAAGACAATTCATAAGAAAGAAGAGGAAGGAGAGAGAGAAAAAAGCCAAACAAAAGTGCCAAAGTAAAATTACAATTGTATGGGTGCAGATATATACCAACTAGGAATTATGCTAAAAAGGACAGGGTCAGAAGAAAAAGCTAAATTAATATTAATTTAATTAGCAATAGTAATAGCATTTAAACTTATATACTGCTTCACAGTGCTTTACAGCCCCCTCTTAGCGGTTTACAGAGTCAGCATATTGCCCCCAACAACCAGTGTCCTCATTTTACTGACCTTGGAAGAGGAGCCAAATTGCAGTCAGCCAGCAGTCAGCCGAAATAGCCTGCAGTATTGCATTATAACCACTGCGCCACTGTGGCTTTTAATACATAATTATTAATGAATTCTAATTAAAATAGCCATGTCTGTATGGAAAGAAACTGCATTTGCATCCAAGCACGCAAACACATATACTCCTTTTCTATTTCCCAGCAGAAACAGGGGGAAAAAAGGAATAGAAATCAACAGGATGGAGATGGGATAAAGGGAGGGGTACTGTAGAGGGAATGTAAAGGAAGGGGAGGAAGATAACCAGGAGGGAAATGAGACAAGGTAAAAGATACTTGGGAAGGGATGGGAAAGACTATTTATGACAAGTTGCATTGAATTCAATGACTGTTACTCTAGAGTAACTAAAGTAATTAAAGTAAAGTAAGTAACTAAAGTAATTAAAACTGTTATCTTATTCTGGCTGAGGAGTGTCCTCAGGTAAAGTTAGGGTTTTTGGTTCTGTTCAGACCCTGTGAGATGTTGAAATGGTCATTCAGTGAAGCAGGATGAGAGACGAATAGTCCTACCATCCTTTTGATGCCATTCATGCATAGAGGTGGAATGCAGGGAGCCAGGGGAAGATGCCTCACCCTGAATTTAACAGAATAATAGAGTTGGAAAGGACTTTGGAGGTCTTCTAGTCCAACCCTGATCAGACAAGAAACCCTGTACCATTTCAGACAAATGGTTGTCCAATCTCTTCTTTAAAAATATCCAGTGTTGGAGCACACCCAATTTCTGGAGGCAAATTGTTCCAATAATTAATTGTTTTAACTATCAGGAAATTTCTCCTTAGTTCTAGGTTGCTTCTCTCCTAGATTAGTATCCATCCGCTGCTTCTTGTCCTGCCTTTAGGTGCTTTGGAAAATAGGTTGACCTCCTCTTCTTTGTGGTAGCCCCTCAAATATTGGAACACTGCTATCATATCTAATCCTTTGCATTAAACTAGGCATCCCCAATTCCTGCAACCATTTTTTCTATGTTTAGCTTCTAGTCCTCTGATCAACATTGTTGCTCTTTTCTACAAAGAGTCTCAGCATCTTTTTAATATCATAGAGACCAAAACGGGATGCACTATTCCAAGTGTGGTCTTACCAAGGTATTATAAAGTGGTATTAACACTTCACGTGATCCTGATGCTACACCATGATTAATGCAGCCTAGGACTGCGCTGGCTTCTTTTGTTCAAGGCATCTCCTAATAATGATAATTCTAGAGACAAGGATGGTGCTCATAAGGAACCTTAGTGAGACTGGGTGATTTGTCTGCCTTTCTGCCTCCGTTCAATCTCCTTGCTGGCATTACTTACAGTTAGTCCTTGACTTACAACCACTCATTTAGCAACCATTTGAAGTTAGAATTACAACAGGTCCTCACAATTACACAATTGTTGCAGCATTCTCCCATGTTTACATGATCAAAATTCGGGCACTTGGCAACCGGCATATATTTATGATGGTTGCATCATCCTGGGGTCATGTTATCACATCATTTGCGACCTTTCCAGCTTGCTTCCAATAGGCAAAGTTAGTTGGGGAAACCAGTTTTGCTTAATGATAGTATTATTCATTTAACAACTGCAGTAATTTGCTCAGCTATCATGGCAAAAAAAGGTTGTAAAATGGGTGGGACTCACTTAGCAAATGTTTTGCTTAGCAGTGGAAATTCTGATTCTAATTCTGGTCATAAGTCAAAGACTACCTGTACAACTATGTGCCTTTACCTCCTTCCCATCCCCTTACTTTTATATCATTTCTCTATAGTTGGCAAATGTGGGGCTGTATTAACAATTATTATTGGGGAGAGATAATTTCAGTATGGTTATTATAGTTTAGTTTTACATTCAATACAAGTACAATGCCCATCAGGGCAATGTTTTCAGGTGGATTATTGTTCTTGCTGTGCCTTTTGTCTCTAAGTCTTTTCCTTTGCATTTTGTTAATGGCAAAATACAATTTGAGTTCAATCTATTTGTCTTGAACAAATGCCATAGCGTTCAAATTTAGAAAAAGCAGTGTAATTACTGATTTCTATTTTAAATCTTTATGAGAAATGGAAAATAACTCAAGATTATGAAGCCCTGGTTTCACTTGAGAGACAGACAAAAGCATCATTTGTCACAGTTTTTCTTGTAACTTAAACTCTTCATTGCATATTCGCCATTTGTATAGATGTGTTGTTTTGTTGTCTTTACCTTCTAGCTATTTTTTAAGAAGTATAACTTTGTGTTAAACTGAACTTTTCTATTTATAATGGCAAGAAAAGTGTGGAGGAATTGTTGTATTTCTTGCTTGTTTTCCCCTTCTTTCATTACTATGGTGATATAAACTAGATATAAACACAATTTCTTTTCTGGACTGCTACATAGCTCTACCGTTAACAATTCCAAATACTGGAAGGATTTTTTTTGATGTGGGCATTTCTTGCATGACTTATTTCTTTAATCTTCTTCTGCCCATTTTTCTTTTACTCCATATTGCTCTGATTCCAGTTTTATGTGACTGTAGGCTGCTGTTTCTAGGATGAAACTTTGCTGCTGCTTCTTTTTTTCTTCCATTTCTCCCTTTACTACATACTGAGCCAGGATCCACCCAATAAATAAAGTTGCATAAACTGTGCTAAAAATATGCTATATAAGAATACTCTGCATTCTTTACTTCTCAATTTTTAGTATCAGTTCTGCAAAACTCGGTAGCTTATTGTCATGTATATGTGTTTCTTATCAAATTTGATGCAAATATGGCTGATATTGATTGGGTGGACAACCTTTAGGAAATTCCAGGGACATAGCTTAGATATGATATTATGAAACTGCAGAACATACTAGCAATGACCAGATGTCTATTGATGTGAATGAAAAACATGGACATGCCCATAGAATTATCAGGAGTTGATCTTCAGTCAAAGGAGATGTCATTCTTAATCAGTCAAAGTGACATTACTCCATGAAACACATGCTTGAATTCCTCACTTGAAAGGTAAAAAAATATCCCTGGAATTTAAAACTCCGCATACTTCACTATTCAAAATTTCAGTAGGGTAGGGTAGGTAATTTACTGGCCTGTAACTGAAACAAGGTGTCTATGTTGTGAACAATATAAATGGGTTAGGAGAATGTTATCTTAATCCAAATCAAACCAGAATTTATCTAGGATTAAACTATCACCTAATCGACTATGTGGCATAACTTATCCTGAACTAGTACAAACTCTGCTCATTATACTTCAAGGAAAAAGTGTGATAGAAGATTGCTGAAAAGAAAGCCCCTCCATTACAAAGTTCATTGCCAAGGCCTAGCAGGGCAGGAAAAACCTCTAAATGCCAGTTGGCCGAAATGGCCATGCTACCTTCTACTTTCTGTCTTCTTCAAGGGGAAGCCTTAAGGTACCTTACTACTAGTACTATCCTAGTTCAAGGAAACCATGCATTTTCTGAAGGATGTAGATGGGAATTCAAAATATCCCCTTTAGAGCCAGTGAATTTAACTGAGTGCTTTCAGAACCACTGATTGGAAAGGGGCTCATAG